AAGTTCAGATTGGTAATGATAAAATATGTAGAACACAGCATATGGAATATAGTCAATAATACTGTGATAACTATGTATGGTGCTGGAAATATCAGGGGGTATGCTTTGTAAAGTATATGATGGCCTAACCACTATGCTGCACACCTGAAACTAATACAAAATAATACTGAATGTAAACTGTAATTGAAAAATTAAAAAAAATCCTTTCAGAAACATCAAGAGGGAGCTTCTTCTACTTAACACCACGTTCGTCAGGTCCTATTCATCAAGGCTGGGAGGGTACACCTGGAATGTTAAAACTGCCACCAAGTAAGTCCTGTCTCCCCCAGGAGCTCATGAAAGAATGGGCTGCTGGCTACCAGGGCTTGTCTCCTGCTTACTTTGTATCTGACAAAGAATGATGCAGAACTTTCTGAAATTAATCCCAGCATCCCAAGACTTAAATTAAAGCCAGGGGTAGTAAAATGTTGTAACAGAATCTCGAAAAGACATGATCATTCCTTTCTAGACAATTAGGCTTTTAGAATTTTATGTGGGAAAAATGCATTACAATATTATAATCAGTATGAAGGAATCTCATTGAATCTCAATAATAAAAAGACAAAATTGCTATATACGGTATCTTAATAGGTGTGCATTATGTAGCTAGTCTCCTTTGGTTGAATGTGATTTGGGACAGGTGTCTGTGATTGCTTAGGTGTAAAATACATTTGCATACATTGATCACAAGTATTTGTTCAGTATATAATAGATAATCATAACTGATCACAGGCAATATGAATATTAAAATGATTTCTACTTATATGGTGCTTTTTACTTTCAACGATTTTTCATGTCTCTTAAGTAATTTTTATCTCCACAATAGCCTGTGAAATAATTAGGTAACATTGTCTTCCAAAGATTGTGAATACTCTTTTCTTTCCTATTTTGAAATGTTACTCTTTTCTCTAATTATAGTTACACCAAGGGAGCTGAATAAGCTTTATTATTACAAAGGTTTTTGTGTTTTTTCTTTCTACATGTGGAGTCAATAAAGAGCTTGTAAAAAGACACCAGGTTCAGGGTTAAGGCATGTATATACATGTGTGCATGGAGATTTGTTAGACTCCAAAACACACAATTCACTTAATAAGATAATATGCAAATTGACCTTAACAGCAGAACGCCTGGGAATTACTGGTCACTATGACAGTCACTGACCACCAGGGGGCAGATATTCAATGCAGGAGCTGCCCCCAGCCCTCAGGCCCCAGGCCAGCCAAGGTGGGTGCCAGCGGAGGGCCCCTGATTGCCCTTCCGGTCATGCCACAGATTGGCCCTGATTGCCGGCCAGGCCAGCCATGCCTAGGGACACTACCTGTGCTCAAATTTTGTGCACCAGGCCTCTAGTACATAAATAAGAAGGACCCAGCTGACCTTGTCTCCTTTCCATGTACTTTTGCAGACACTCTCCATTCACTCTGATGCAATCTTTTGCTTTTTTAACAATTTTTTTTTTCTGGATGATGGAGCCTGCTTTCCTCCTCCCACCTCCCCCCAATCCACCCCCTAATTAAACTCCTTAATGTGCCACACTCCAAAATTTTTCACTGCTTTTATTCCTTATCAAAATCTTTATAGTTCTTTGATTTCACTAGGTATTTTGCTGGTCTTATTTGAATAAACTAAATTATGCCAAGGTACTGGAACTGTTTGATATATCACCTCACCTGAGAAAGTTAAATCTATAAAATGAACTGGAGAGGCAATAGTTCTTTTCTTTTTTTAAAAAAAATACACATTTTTTATTGACTTCCAAGAGGAAATGAAAGGGAGAGAGAGATAGAAATATCAATGATGAGAGAGAATCCTGGATCGGCTGCCTTCTGCACCCCCTCCACTGGGAATCGAGCCCACAACCTGGGCATGTGCCCTTGAACGGAATGGAACCTGGGAACCTCCAATCCACAGGCTGACACTCTATCCACTGAGCCAAACCAGCTAGGGCGCAATAGTTTCTTCTTTAAAGGGATAATCAGAGAAAGCAGAGCTTCAGACAGTGTGACAGGAGAGCTGGGTCTTCCTGGTTTTCCTTCAATCTACGAATAAAGCTGCCCAGTGCATGAAGGTTAAGAAGGCAACGTGTTTTGCCTGGACGTACTTACAGGTCACCGTGGATGAGTCCGTAGATCTCTGGCATGCTCTGATGATAGATTCCTCTCAAAATTACTATGAGCAGAATCACCACAAAAGCTGGAAGTCCCCAGCTCAGAAGGAAAAACAGCAGATAGCGCCTCTCTGTGTGTTCATCATTCATCACCAGTACGTACCAGAAATTCACAGACTAAGAAAGGAGAGAGAACATACAATGAACAGGCTCTGGTACAGGACACAAATTCACCTGACTTAGGTATAAAGAGCAAAAGGCTAGGATCTACTTAAAAATTATAGTTTTGAGTTGATTTTTTTAAAAATTAGTTCATATACTCATTCTTTCATATACCCAAAGTATTCAGAATATCTCAAAAGTCGGTTTTTATTTACCGAGGGTCTCTCATATGGTGGGGCCAGGCACTGTTCCAGAAAGGGGGTACACTTGTGAAGATAAACCCAATCTCAGCCTCCCCCCCACCACCCTGAAGCAGGAGACATAGGCAAGTAAACAGAAAATGATTGCACAGAGATCAGGTACTGTAATAGGGTAGGTTTTGTGGCTGTTTTTCCTTCTCAGTTTGTATCTCTCTCCTTTCCACTCACTCACTTGAGAAGCATTTATTGGTTGTTTACTAAATTTCAGGGACCAGTTTGGGCACTAAGGCAGTGAAAGAGTTGGGGGGAGGTATTTACTTTCCTGAATCTAAGTGTCCAAACAAGTGGAAAAATAATTAAGGGAAACATGTATTATGTTGTCTCTGTGCCCTGGCTGGGATTCTCACTGGTTAGAGCCTCGGCCTGTGCACTGAAGGGTCACAGGTTTGATCCCCAGTCAAAGGCACGCACCTCTATTGAGGTGCTTCTGTCCCCTGTCGGGATGCGTGTAGGAGGCAACCAGTTGATGTGTTTCTCTCACATGGATGTTTCTCTCTCTCTCTCTCCTTCCCTCCATCCCTCCCCTCTCTCTCCTTTCTCCTTTCTCTGAAAAGCAATGGAAAAAAAATCTCCGGTGAGGATTATCAAAAAATAAAAAATATATATTGTATATGTATCATATTTTATGTCTGTTATTTCTTATCTAAGATAAACATATAAAAGGGACAATTTTATAGAAGGGGGAGTGAGGGGATACAGTAGCTAGATGGAATAAGGAAACGGAGGACTGGAAATATTATTGGCTCCAAACACCACACCTAGCTTATATGTAAGCCACATCTAGAACTTATATATTCTACCTTCTAGTGTTCTCTTTCCC